TTCGAAAAATGGCATTTTTTAACATGTTTAGAGCCCCATAGTTAACTTTTGTGGCAAAGCAAACAATTGGCAATGATTGTTTCAAAACGTTGAAGGTCATATTTCTGAAATGCATGATAAACATCTTTGGTAAATCATCTATCACATATGTTACCATGGTTACAAAGTATTCAAAAGTAAAAAAAAATAAAATTCATTGAATTTTATAAAGTCATACACGTAAAAAAAGCAATTATAGGATGAGATGTGACCAAATAATAGAAAAAAAGAGCCTTGAAACATATATCAAGAACAAAATATGATATTTCATTTTGGTTGGCAATGGTTGTCAAGGTTTTATACCACAAAGAGCCTTCAAAGTAACACTCTGTACGTTTAAATTTGATGCTATCTTTTGAAAAAGCACATTTCGTCATAACTGATGATACATTTTTAACGATGTTAGTGTGCTCTTAGTTATCCCATTTGAAAAAATTCAGATAAGATTCTTTAGATAGAGCGTTGCAATGGAAATAAGCAGAAAATATATGCTTAAAAACCAGAAAAATATTTTCTTTCCTTGGAAACGTACCCTTAAGGTCAGACGCAACGTAGTTTTTACCATTTATTTTTCTATCTCCTAAAAATAGAGTTCCGATATTGATTCCGTTACTTTTTCCTTATCGGGCTCGATTTTTACTTTCGATTACGCCCCTTGAGAGCTTTTTCGTACGTAGATATAATTTTAGAATATCTTTGTTTGGAATTGAGAAAATTCGCGATAAAGGAGGGCGATTTATCTCCAAAGGAAAACAAAATAAAATAACATCGATTGAAAGTTATAGACAGAAAAATGTGACAGTTGAGGTACCTTCAATAAATTCCAAATCTAGTCCTGACGATCCGCCGCCTGATCAAAGTAAGTTATCTTGATTCGTTTATATACATGTAAGCAAATATCGTAAAATAAACGTGTGTGTGTCAACAAAAAAGAAGGGCTAAAAAATTCGATGAATTTAGTTTCAGTAAACAGTCAAGCATCTAGATGCGTTTGTATTGCTTATTCTTTTATATATTTTACCGTCAACTAGCCGTCAACTAACCGTTAACTAGGCGTCAACTGATAATGCGAAAACAGTTGACCACTCGGAGTTGAATGCTTTTCACAAAAGCGATCAACTGATTTGCATAAAACGGCCAGTTGACCATTAGTTGAATGCTAATACTTTGAAATTTCATGTAGAACCAGAGTTGACCACTAGTTGAACACTCCGACTTGTTAGAAAATTTCTCCCACGCTACATTTATGTTGGGTTCAATATTACATTATCATAGATCGGGTTTGTTATACCATAATTACTACAACCAAGATTTGAATCAGTACATGTGTGTTTTCTGTAGAAGATGAGAATTTTGATTTGAAACATTATTGTCTTTGTAATGATTCCGCGTGTGAAATACCTCATGTAATATTGTAAATATATAAAATCTTAAGATTTGTTTTACTAAGCTTGTTATTTTTTAACAGATAATAGGAATACAAAAAACTCTAGCCAGTATAGGTCCCTAAACTCCCTATTATTGTGTACTTTTTTAAGAATTGAAAAAATTCTGAAAACTTGTCATGCATCAAGCGTTTTGTTGTGTTTCTTGTTGAGTTGGAAAAAAATAAACCGTTGCTTTCACTAATTATATATATACATGTAACCTTTTCTGCCTAGAAAATGAAGAAGGCATGTAACAACTTATGAGAGTGTGCCAGCTCAATTCATTTATAATGCATTTAGATTTACAAGTACATTTATGTCAAATAGAAACTCTATTGGTTTGACTTTCCATATTTTCAAGAACACTGATTGTCTTAGATTTCAAATCTCCCTCAATTTTTTTTCAAATATTTAATGAAAGCAACCTACTTGCACTGACTAATGGAGTATTCAACTAGCGGTCAACTGCAAAGAAAATAGAGGAGTAATCAACTAGCGGTCAACTGTAAAGGAAATAGTGGAGTATTCAACTAGCGGTCAACTGCAATGGAAATAGAGGAGTATTCAACTAGCGGTCAACTGTAAAGGAAATAGTGAAGTATTCAACTAACGGTCAACTACAAAGAATATATAGGAGCAGTGGTCCTCTCTATGCAAATGAGTTGACTGCTCCCTCATTTGCATTCAAAAATTCAACTAATGGTCAATTGACGGTCAGTTGACAGTCAACTAGTAGTCAACTGAATACTCCGATTTAATTCTAATAGTATTCAGTTGATATAGGTTATCCTTGGTAATTCAAGGTAAATTTATGACAGATGATGATTTACAAGATCCAATCTACATTTTGGAGCACAGCTATGCTTACGATCTATCAATAAACGGACAATGTGATGAGGAAGTAGTCCCAGATGAAAACGAAGACACGTCACATCTCATATAAAATGGGATACAGGAAGAAGAATCAGTGAACTAGGATTTGTTTTGAATAAACTTATAGAGGGTTGTTATAAATGTAAATATTCTTAGAATTTGAGAGACATTTATGGCGAAAAGAGATATGGACTTGGTTCCTTACTACATATCAAGTGTACTTTATGTAGCACAGTAAACTATGTTCCCACAGGAAAACGCCATTCTCGGTCGGACAGTAATGGGATACGAGCATTTGACGTAAACACAAAAGTTGCACTGGGTTTTTAATTATTGAATATTGATTTTATATATTTTATCTTCATTTGATCAATGAAGCATCTCAGCATACAGTTATATTTATCATATTATACATATACTTGTAATTATTATTACATTGCAGGAATGCTCCATGCAGGCATTGGTGAGAAAAAATTACCTATGCTCCTAAGTGTATTGAACATCCCACCACTGTCAAAGACATCTTTGAAAATATCTGAGAGAGAAGTTGGTAGAGCAGTTGAAGATGTTGCCAAAAATAGTTGTAAAGAATTTGCTACTGCAGAGGTGGAATCATTTGGGTAATACTAATAATATTTGTAAAGGCATTTGTATTTGTTATTGCGCACACATTACAAAAGAAAATGATGGATATAATTTTATCAATAAACTTTTACTAGGCAGATCATAAAATATTCTTGGGTTTTGGTTTATAAATATGGTATGAGAACTATACTTTTCAGAAATGCATGCAACTGATATATATTCATTATAATGTGTAATAAGTATATACTTGGTAAATTTACATGCAAAAATTGTTGTGCATTTATTTTTTTCATTTTTTCAATTTATAATTTGAAATATTTTTCTCATTTCAGTAATGATGACCTTTCAGTGTCTTTTGACGCAGGATGGCAGAAAAGAGGATCAGGGCGATCTTATTCAAGTTTGTCAGGTTTGAAAAATTACTGTTCTGCAGTTACATACGAATTTTCAATATAATGTATATGTAAATCAAAATGACTTGAACAAAAGGTGTATAAAAACCCAAGTATTATATATTTACGTATTGTTCTTCAATATGAAATATTTGTAGAGGAACAGTGTTTCATAGACTCTGTCCTCATTTTTACTTACAGTGCGTTCTGTTGTATGTATGGGTGTATTGCATATTTTTCTTCAAAGAGAGGTAACTCAGATATACAAATAGTATGTAAATTGGATTTTTCAAAAAAAATCTAAGAAAAAAAGCTGGTTCCATATGCTGAAAAATTCTAGAATTTCATCATCTATTACTATAAAATTGGAAGAAATATCATCTAAAAGTATGTTTGAGAATTTCGGTATATTTTGCATAGGAAAACGCCAATTTTCATCATATGTTATCCTTCCAAAACCCCTGGTAATACATTCTGATATTTTGTCTCAGAACATCTTAGTAGACCTTCATTTTAAATAAAGAATTTCTTGAGAAAACTACCAAAAGGTAATGTATGTTACGTAGGACCTTAAATGTAGATTCCCAAAATTTTTATGATTGATATTTATTAACAGCTAACCTGACTTTTTTATTTTGACAATCTCTAAGTGGATGCAAGAAGTTGTCACACAGGGTTTAATACTGATATAAAGTTCACAAAATCGAACATTTTCCCTTCTTGGTAACCATAGCAACAGTGTTGTTTTCTTCATAACATTTTATCAATATATGATATTCAACTTCAGTTCTAACAGATAAGTACCATTCAAGCTGAGTTCTTTAATTTGTTTCTTGATTATATATATGGCAATTTAATTCTTAATGAAGCGAAAAATAAATCACTTTTAACCACTGGTAGTACTTTGTTTCCATGGTAACACTGCAAAGTAACAATTATATCCAATTTTTAGTATGGTTTTGATGATGCAAGGTCCAAAGGATGCATATTTGCCAGTCTTGAATTTTCATGTTTTCCTCAAGACAGTAGCATTAACCCAATCTTAGTTACTGGTTTTTCATAATTACACTGTGTTGCCAAGGCAACCATTAAAGTTTTTTATAGAATTATATTGTTTATACTTATATACTTAAGGTCAAACATTAATATTTACATTGCTGTTCTTAAGTAGTTGATTGAGTTTGAGCATGTAACACCTACCGTTAGTGAATACGGAGTGTTTTTCAGCATATTTCGGCATTTCAAATGTATTCCAAATGTACCCTTGTTACCACTTACTTAGAATCATATTCTAAACAGTTTCTTTACACTATAAGTGACATCAAGGTGTCATGTTTTTGTGAGAATGGTTTGTTTGCTTTTTCTAGTTTTGATTAAGCCACAGTCAAGATTTAAAGTGGCTGAAAATCTCAATTTTTCAAACTTTCCGGCTGTTGCCATAGCAACCGAGACACTTATCAACGAAATGTTGTTTGATATTTGTTTCTGGTGCAAAGTACTAGGCGTGGGTGAAGTTTCATCAAAATCTGTGGCCATGCGTGGATACAGAGAATGGCTACATGTACATGTATTAATACTCAAAGCACTTTCGTTTTAAACGTTTCTTCCAAGAAACTCGTTTCATCAAAGAGAAAATTTATCGTCATTCTTAAATATAATTTGAGATAATTCTGCGTAAAAATACCTTTGTACTCCCAATTTGCAAACACAGTATCTTCCTGGTCACACACTTCCTTATCCACCTTCTGGTCAAGACGTTTAGAGGCGTCCACCACCACGACATAGAAAGCTCTCCTAGTCAGGTAAATCTGGTGACAGGCGTAGTACGCACACTGGCCCGCAAAGTCAAAGAATGTCAAGGTCTTGGAATCCATCTTTTCATAATTATTTCTTTCATTGTTTTGGTCTTTGTATTTTTCTCTGGCTGGAAAAAGTAATCATGAAATATCTCATTGTTGCTGTTGGAATTAAAATATAAAAACTATGTAGAAGGCTCTCCTAGTCAGGTAAATCTGGTGAAGGGCATAGTACATGTACGCACACTGTCCTGCAAAATCAGAGAAACTAAGCGTTTTCTGCTTACTAGTATCGGGTTTTGATTTTCTGTTCTTATTTGATTCATTGATATTTTTTCCTCACTATATTGTACAAAAAATTAATCTAAGAAAGTAAATGCAAAGTGGCAAGATTTGAAAATGAAAACAAGGGATTAACTAAGAAGTCAATGAAATATCCGAATCTGTGATTTTTTTACATGAAAAACCACTAATTACAAACCTCTATCTAATAGTTGAATAAACAAGAGGCCCATGGGCCTTATAGGTCACCTGATCATTATCATTATAAGCAAAGCCCCCCTCCCCTCTATGGTAACCCTGACCCTGGGGCCTTGAAATTCACAATTCGGGAAGATTAGGGCCCTTTTCCATCATAACTATATATGTAGTTCATTCGTTAATACCGAGAAACAGAGAAGAAAAAAATTCAAAGATTTCATGTATTTTCACTATATAATCTCTAGCGCCCCACACTAACATGAGGACCCTGACCCTGGGGCCATAAAATTCATAATTTTGGTAGAGGCACTCTTGCTCATCATAACTATGCACCTAGTTTATTTAATACCTAGGAGCAGAGAAGAAGATTTCCAAGAATTCATGTATTTTCACTATATAATCAATAGAGCCCCACCCTAACACCAGAACCCCTGACCCTGGGGTCATAAAACTCACAATTTTGGTAGAGGCACTCTTGCTTATCATAACTATGTATGTAGTTTGTTTATTTAATATCCAGGAGCAGAGAAGTAGATTTTCAAAGAATTCATGCATTTTCACTATATAATCAATAGAGCCCCGTCTTAACACCAGAACCCCTGACACTGGGGCCATGAGTTTCTCAATTTTGGTAGAGGACTCATTGCTGATTACAATCATGCAAACATTTTGACTGCTTGATGTCCAGAAGTAAAAAGACGATTTTTAAAGATTGCATTAATTTTAGTGATTTTGACCCCACCCCTCAGGCCCCAGGGGGCAAAGATCATGAAATTTACAATTTTTGTTCCCCTTTACCTACAAATGCTTTGTGCTAAATTTGGTTGAAATTGGTTCAGTGGTTGCAGAGAAGAAGCTGAAAATGTTCAAAAGTTAACGCACAACGCCCGATGCACGACGACGGACGGAAACAGATAGCAATAGGTGACCTAAAAAGATTAATGAGAACTCTTAACCAACAAATTTAAAGTAATACGCGCTATATAGAACGCCGATTTTTGTGTGAAACAAAATGATAAAATGATTAAAAACACGAAGTGTAATGAAAAAATAACACTTTCCACAAAATTTACCTTTAGAAGTCGTTATAATAACAAAACAATTAAGCAATATCTGCAATTAAGAACTCAGTCTTTTTTATGAGAGTGACACCGTGACGCATGAAGGGGAAAATTGACAAATATAGAATGCTTGAATGAACCGTGTACATTTTTTTCAAATCATAAAATATTAGGTTTCGTGAAATTAAAGGTTTAATACAGAACCTAAAAATTCTATTTTGATGGGAAAAAAATAAAAGTAAAAATAATTTCAGTAATCCCCATGTAGCTTAACGAAAATATTGGAAAATTCAAAATACTCTTGTACTTCTTCCTCCCTATTGTACGAAAGCCAATTGAGCTCATTTTGATAGGTAAAAAAAATTAATTTTTTCGCGTTATAACGCGAAACTTTCGCGAATAAACGCCTAACCTTCGCGTTATAACGCGTAACTTTCGCGAATTAAGGCGTGACTTTCGCGTTATAACGCGATACTTTCGCAAATAAACGTGTAACTATTGCGTTATAACACAAAACTTTCGCGTCATAACGCGAAACGTTCGCGAATAATATGCGAATCTTTTGCGAATAAACGCGTTAATTTTGCGTTAAAAAGCGTAACTTTCGCGTCATAACGCGAAACGTTCGCGAATAAACGGGAATCTTTTGCGAATAAACGCGTTACTTTTGCGTTATAAAGCGCTCTTTCGTGTTATAACGCGAAACGTTCGCGAATACAGGCGAATCTTTTGCGAATAAACGCGTTACTTTTGCGTTATAAAGCGTAACTTTCGCGTTATAACGCGAAACTTCTGCTGTTTAACCAAGCATTTGCTTAAGTCTAAACTTTATTTTGTCTTGTGACCAAGTTTTTTTTTATTACAATGATAAGCAATTAAAAGTTATTTTAAACTTGGAATATCTCAGGCTACAAGTTTAAGTTTTCTTCCTATCGAATCCATCTTTATCGTCATGGGTGATCTTTCTCAGCGCTGTTCAAAGTTTTCAAAGATTATGCGAGTTTTCCAAAAGTTAAACTTCAATCCCTCTTATCATAAATATAAAGATTATGAATTTCGGGGAAAATCATCCTTTCCGGCGTCTTTATTTATGCACTCTCTGGAAACGAACCATCCATATACTGGTCACCGTCACATAATAATAATTTAGTATTTCCCATGTTTGATGTTTTCAACGGTCCTCTAGTAAAGTCATTTTTATAAAATTTTCAAAAATATCGGGGTTTGTTAAAAGAAAAAAAAAACGTGCATTTACATGTACATAAGCATTTAATTTCTTAATTAATAAACATATTTTATTATATGGAATTCATTTTTTTAAAAGTGAATCAATCAAATAATTTAAAGTTTAACATATTTTTTTCTAAACCAATATTCCTAAAATAAATAAATAACAAGCTAATTTAGAGAATTTGTGTCCACCGCTTAGGGAAAAGTAAACCATGCGCAGTTCAGGGGTCGTGGGGGGGGGGGGTGGTTCGGATCTACTTTGAAGACTTATTAAATGTATACAAATGTATACATACAATGTAAGCAAATAAAATATGCCAATATGGATATAAAGGTTTGATAGATTATTATTTATTATATATGTAGACGATTCTTTTTTTAAAAATATGGACTATTTATCACACTGTAATGATTATATTATGAGTTTGTACAAGCCAGACCTCAGAAATGCATAAGAACATTTCAATGGTGTGATTTTGTATTGACAACATTTTCCTGATGCTTGTCTTGAGCCCAATTGTGTGCGAGTTGCACATTTATCATTTTCAATGCAATTTGCATTTATTTCAAAACTTCAATTTTAGGGTGCAATTTGTGCCTTTCACTTACCAATTTAGTTATTTGGTGCAATTGTATTTACTTTGTGCACGATTTGTGCTTTTAATTTGTGCACGATTTGTTGTTTTATTTTGTGCACAATTTGTGCTCTTAATGTTACTCTGCATGGGCTGCAAAATCGCCGCCCAAATTTGAGTTTGAGACGGATTCGTCATGCGACTGATGGGATCGGATGGGTCATGCCCTTGACCCATTTGCAGACCATTTTGACATAGTACATATATTTTGTACAATTTGTACCTAATGTGCGCAAAATTAGTACTGTTGTTACTTTTGGCCCCAAAACTGCCGCCCCGATTTTAGTTTGTGGCGGATTGGTCAATTGACCTTGTCCCTTGACCCATTTGGTATAATTTTACAAAAAATGCTGTCTCCGGGGGGTAATGTTTTTTTTTTATCAGACTCCTTGGATCAAAATGGTATTTCTCTTGCTCATTATCTATATTCATTTAACTTTGTTGCCATATTATCATCTTGATCGGCGCATACATTGTGTTATATTTAATAAATTATTAAATGGCCATGACAAGCACGCCCAAACAAATAAAGTCTTGTTTTTATTGACTGTTTTTACAGACTTCTTAAGCATTCTACTGGGGCAATTCTGATGAAATTTGTTTTTGTTATTGTCTAAGTCCAGAGTCACGAAATAAATAAAGAGGTAGAGCCAATTGGGCCTTATTTGGCCCTGAGAATTATGGAAAATTCAAAACCGCTCAGTTTAGGCTGCAAATGCAGTGTTTATAACTTGGAGTGTTGGTGACCACGTATACATAAATTGTGACGTAATCTCACATCTCGTTAATGCATTATGACGTCATAAAATGCGTCATTTTCCTCATATCCTGTAAATTCCTTTAAAATGACCCTAAGTTGAAGCGTTTTCTTAATATTTCGTATAGAGCACAGCCTCTGATCCAAAATATGCCAATAAACAATGAAAGGCCTATTTCTGAAGATCAAAATACATGTTTTATTTTTTGGATCGTGGGCTGTGCTCATATTTAAATTCTTTGCTGAAGGTAGTCAAATACGCATATTTTCTGCAAATTTCAAGAACATTGCAATTTTTCAAAGCCCGTTTTCAAATATTTGGATTCTCAAAACGAGTTTCATTATAGAACATGAAATCACCAAGTGTCTATTTAATTTTGATATATGAAAATTGAAGAGGGTGATAGTTTATTAATTGATATAAGTAAGGGCCATTTTATGAAAAAGATGGCTCTTGCTCTTTCCAACAGTATTTAAACTGGTGCAAGTGATAGTGATAGCATGTATTAATTTAAGATTTTCACCATAAATTATCTTTTGTTTATTACTTTAAAACCTAATTCAATATTAAACGTTTAGATCAAAAATGTTTGTACGGGCTTTAACAAATAAATTATATGTGAATTATAAGTGAAGTATAATTAAATACATTGTACTATACAAAATCTATAAATATTTAACAGTTTGGATTCATTTCCATCGATACTACGTGACGTATGTAAGCATTACATTTTAAAGTTTCTTTTTCTACAAATACATGTCAAAAGAATTTGTATTTATACGTCATTACATGTAAAAGTAAAGTTTGAAGTATATTTTGACATCCGTACTTTAAACAGTCACATTCAAATGTTTTACCTTTGAGTGTTCCTGTCCATTTACAGACTTCAAACACTTCCTCGTGGACCTCTAATCCTTCTGTTGACTCTATTTTCTTTAATTCATTCTCATTACGCTTGAGTAGACGATTCAGTAGCGTGGTTTTCCCGGCCCCAGCACATCCTACAATCATCCCCCGGGCGTGATGGACTTCCTGTACTCCCCCTCTCTCGGCGTACTGAACGTACCGTTCTCTGGCTTTCTGGTCCCATTTCAATATTTCTTCAGGTACTTTTACTGTCCATATCAAATTTAATGTTAAATAATATTTTCCAAGCTTTAAAATGATACATTGAACTTTAATTTCTGATATTTTACTTAACTTTCAATGTTATCAAATGGCTGTTTGTGGTTTCGGATGTCGTAATGAAAATCTTTTAAACCAACATCACAAAACTATATATAATAAGACTTTTTTGTGCCGTTAAAAGATAAATAAAGTATAAAAAATAAGAGTTAAATAAAAGATGATTTATAAACAACCATTCTTAACGTAACAGAAAGCTAAAAAAAAACACGAAATAAATACTTACAGTAGCGACTAAAAATCGTCATGGTAAATCGAGGGTTTTTACAAAACTTGGATCTGTAGCTCTCTGTTTTTTATCTGTCTGATTTTTCTCAAGCAGAGAGCAATAGTTCTGCTGCTAAATGTACTGTTACTTGGGGTACATTTACAATGTGAGTATATGTACTTTAGCTGCAGCTGTCAATATTACGGATTTTAGTTTTCGATATTCGAAATACATGTATATATCTATATATGAACATGCATCTGCTTGTATGTAACTCAAAGAATGAAAACGTTGCCTGTAAGGTAATGGGATCATCGAAGGTGAGCGTTTTCTAAACGTTAGATACAGAATAAGATTGTCTGAGTGTGTTGTTGTTCATAAAATTTTGTCTAATTTTTGGTTAAAGCAGTTAACCAATAATTAACATGCATTTTCGAAGAGTAATTCTTACGTATATATTTACAGATACGCAGCTGTAGCAAAGGTGGGGTTGGGTGGGGTGTTAGATTTTTTGAAATTTCGTATGTTTATCCTGGAAAGGTTGTATATTCTTACAAAAATCAAGAATCAAGATGTGTTTGTGAAACACTATTCGCCCAGCAGCAACAAAGTTCAGAAACTATTTTAAGCATAAAAGTCACAGTCAAGGTCATAAGGTCCTTGACCTTGGTGACATATGAAAGTGCAAAATTAGTGAAATGTTCATTTAAATATGAAGTCTAAATCTCTTAAGGTTCATGAGTCCTATGTAGGATAAAATGTTGACAGCAGACTGTCCTCCAAACAGGTAAACAAACAGACAGACATACAGGACAAAAACAATATACGTCACAGTGCATTAATGTCAAGATCTAGTAAATAACGAGACATTAATTTTTTGGTGCTGGATCCATTATGACGTCATAATCAATTTCAACTTTCTTTTTCCCGTACTTTACGGCTTTAGCAGAATTATGTAGAAAATAGGGTATTTTCATGTCATTCAATTTGAAATCATATGAAAAGTAAACCAGATACCTATATTAAATTTGATATTGATTTAAAGAAGAGGCCATGAACATACTAATTACTGTTTTCTGAGAGACTGTAAGCAATCTGGATTCATTCCTTTGCCGAATACGAAAAAAAACTCCCATATTCATGACTGGTTTTCTTATTTTTTCATTGAAAATGACAGATTAAAATATAGTTTTGCATCTTGTTTACCTACAAATTATTTCTGGAAACACCTTATGTGACCAAGCTAAAGTTTGTAAAGCAACAACAAAGGAATTTATTTCTCAAGTTTGATAAATCTGTAGGCACCTTTCATTTACTAAATCTTGACTTTAAAATATTCACGTAGTTTTGGAGTTATATGGTGCATTAAAACAGTATTTAGCAGCTACATGAATGCTCTATCTCTTATAGAAGTTATATATGTATGTTCGTGGGAATGCGATCTGTTCTGCCAATTTCTTTAAAAATCCAGATTCCAAAAGAGAAAAAAAATAGGAAATCCCAGCTTGATTTTCAAAAATATATTTTGACGATGCTAAAGGAAGTACACTTTTTAAACAATCACGCTGGGGAATGATTTAAAGTATGACTAACAACGAAGGAAAAAGTCCAAGAGTTCCTGACACAATGATTATTACTTGATGTTAGTGTTACATTGTAGGGTTTTCTACTACATGTACACTGATTTTTAATTCTCTATCGAATGCATTCATATATTTTCAGATATTTTAGTAATTAAATTCTTTATTAAAAACTTTTTTTATCCTGTGATATTGTAACGCTTTAAAATAAAAGTTTGTTTCCTTGTCTTTTCAAAATTTTACCCAGAGACAAATTTATATAGGTTTCCAGCTGACGCTAAAGATCTGAAAAAAATGTATCCAAGAAACCAAACATCGATTTCCACAATAGTATTTGTTAATAACTGAGACATGATCAATACTTACAACGATTTCTGATCCTGGCATGAATCGTACCGTCAGACATGGTACGGTGTGAAATGATGTCCAGCTGTAGTTTGTCCATGAAGAGATCATACATCTTCTCCGGTCTGTTCGGAACATACAGACATCTATCTCCCTCATTCCTCTTATAACCCCATGATACGCAGTATTCTGAGATCACGTCACGTGACGCCGTGGTCAGGAAAAACTCAAGATCACTGTCCTCCACCAGACACTCCGTAACAAAGGCGTACATGATATCATGTCGGATGTCGTCTGATATAAAGGTTATCACACGATCTTGTGTTTCTGCGATTCCATCAGGAAGATCTACCGAGCCGTCATCAGTAATGTCTGTGAAATATCTGTCTCTGATTTTTTCCATAGTGATTTTATGAGATTGATCATCGAGATTCAGTTGATATTTTTCAGCAAACAGTATGCTGTACAATAGATTCCGAATTTCTAGTGAATAGGTATGACAGTTACCTGAAATGAGAATAAAGTTTTTTTTTTAAATAATTAACTTACCCCTCCCCCTTTTTCCTTACATCTTGACCAAGTTTTGGGAGAAATAACTATTCTTTCTTTACATGCTAAATTTGAATAATTGGGAGATTTTGATCGATATTGGTATACATCTATCTTTTTCTTAACTTAATCAAAGAAAATAACTTGGTGACAGGCATTGTATTGTATGATTTTATGATCTAAGAAAGATAAGTCTTATTTGTTGCTTAGTTGATTTATCTCCCTTGTCATTGACTGGACCTTGTTGAATGTAGTATGGCTGATTAACGTAACATGTGCATTTAGTATTAAGTTGATAAAATTAGATCATTATCACATAAACACTACAATGGTACTCATGTTTAAGAAAAATCTCAGAAAATATATCAAATTAAAAAAAAAAAACTAAAAGATGTGAGAATATATGTCTTTGGTCGCACAGATTGTTGAAAGGAACTTCAATTTTTAGAGAAATAAAAATAAGGTAGAAATATGCCCTTGCGACAGGAGTGCTCCATAAAGCAACACGGAATTTAGAAAAGCTGGAATAACCATAAACAGTTTGATGAGATTTTGTTAACTACATTGTAGCGTCTTTAAAATTACAATTTACGTAAAAACAATCAATGAAAATGATAAATGTACATGTAAAGATGCGAAAGATTAAATTAAAAAATCTTACGTGGTTTCTATAAAACTAAGCAATACTCAAATTTTAAAAAAAATTAAGTTCAAGGTCACAGGAAAGTTTAAGTTAAAAATTTTGATGCAGTTGAACATAGTTCTTTCGAGCAGCATATTTAGTTTGATAAATATTGTGTTTATTGATTTATGTAAATATGAGCTAAATATGTAATTAAAAATGAGGTCTAGGTCAAAGGAAAGTTGAAAATATTTTGTGGTTTATACATATATATAAACAAATAAGGTTTGATAAAAATAATATCTCACCATTTATTGGTTATTTAAAACTAAGCTAAACAAGAATTTTAAAAGAGTGAGATCAAGGTCAAACTATGCCAATTAACCTTTATAGCTCAGATGGAAAAAACAAGAGGCCCAGAGGCCACATCGCTCACCTGAGTTAAAAACCTTTACTTGCAAGAATTATGCATGTAGATGTTAGGAGTATGAACTTCCTCTTTTTATGCATTTACTGTAATTGGACTCTATCTGAGAAGAAATTACTTAGAATGGCTTTCTTTTTCAACCAGTGCATAATGCCTACCTCATTATCAATTTAGTCATAAAGAGTTCAAGCTCAGTATTTGTGCAAAATATAGCATTTGTACTGTTAACATTTCTCTCCTTTTTTGGGGTGGGGGGAGATGTAAAATTAGCTATGTTAGTTGTGATAAATCAGAAAATGTATATAAGATTTTACTGTTATTTCTTTACAAAATTAAACATACTTGATGAAAATTTATCAGACAATTAGTAGGTAGTATAATAAAAAATATGAAGCGTTAATAACAATCAACTATATAAATTTTAGATGACTTCAACAGACAAATATGCACACAATATCAAATATGCAATATTGCAACAATTTTGTGACAGAAATGCAAAACGTCCTGGCAATAACAATGCATGCATGTAGATGCTCAATGTAAACATTTCAAACGTTTGTTTAGAGGAAATTTCAATACATCAAAGTAATCATTTGATAGATACGAAATACACTGTATTATTCAAGTTAACTTAATAGTAAATCTTTCCTATGCATAACGAAAGCGAAAATTGGAAAGATTGCAACTGAAAGTGAATGAATATATATGATGGTCAACAGACTCAGACTTCAATATCAGCTATTATTTTTAAAGAATTTTAAATAAGTAACATTTAATTGGAGTACCTGCAGGAATCAGATTACCTAAACTTGATGGCAATATTCCAAAATGGAATGATTAAGATCTTTTTGCACTCAATAATTTTGATTTTAAAGACCAGTCATGAGAAATTATAGTGATCCACCTTTTTTCCTCTCTTTTATAGGAGAAATTGTAATGAAATAAAGAGGTGGGTTAAAGTTTACAGCCCTTTACGTGCTGTCCATTGACCCCCTTTTTTCATACTTACCTGGATATAAGTGTTTCATATATATTCGATTCTCATTAGCTTATAATATAATGGTACAGTGCAGGGAACTAATTTTGTTACATAAACCAGCATCAGGATCAGCATAAGTAGGATCAGGATAGAGCTAGCATCAGCATCAGCATTTAAAAAAACAGCATTACTTGGATCAGCATCAGCAAGCAAAGGATAGAACTAGCATTGACCTATTTTAAAACCAGCATTGACCTACTTAAAATCAGGATTATCCTGGTTTACTAAAACTACAGATTTGATTTTCACAAAACGAAACCGCAAATAGACATTCCTATTTCAGTCGGAAATAAATACAAAGAATGTATTTCTTGCTGACAAATTGGCCAATATAATCCTAAGATTATTATTAAATTAATTCAATAGCAATAACCCCGTGATATTTTCAAATCTGAATCAGCTGATCATCAAACGCTATGTAGTCTACTGGTGAGGCCACGCCACGGATTGGTGATATTGAGATCGGTGATAAAGGGGTAAGTAGTCACGCTTGCGCATGAAAAATCAGTTATACAATATAATAAAAGTATGATATTGTGAGTATGACTAATTACTACAAAATTCCATTGGGTTTTATGGGCATACACATGCTACGAAGTTTTTCAATCCGAATTTCCTCTAAATTTACGGAAGTCAGAATTAAAAGTCGCAGTGCCTTTGATGAGATTATCTGCAATTAATTAATCATAGACTGAGGTGTAATGAACAAAACCTAATAATTAATCCAATGCAATAGTTGATTTTATGTGAATGAATCTGGCGTAAACATTTTTTTAATGCGAAAGTTTTTAAACTTTATAAAAACTTGTGCAGAAAAATGAATTTGTGTATGTACAAAGAATCATTTTGAAATAGCTAAAATAATAATTATCATTATGATAAATTGTATATAGGAGAGAGGATCTGTGCTTGAAAATATACATACATTTATTTTAAAACTTTTTCACTACATATTCTTTTCCTTGTTTGATGAATAGCTTTTCATAGTGGAAAATTGTGTATACAAAGTAGTTTGTATGTCCTTAACTGCAGATCTGTAGCTCTCCAAAAAAAATATATTGATAGACTGGAGAGCTACAGTGTCACCCATTGAAAAAAAACTGTATTTTTATTGCGCACAAAAAAGTGCGCTCGGTTCTTGATTAATACTTCCAAATTCTTGCCTCAATTGCAAAAAAGGAAAGATTTAAAAAAAATTCCTTCATCCTCAATCAAGTACTCTCGTAGTTGACATCTGAACGAAGCATATTGGACCGAATTATCTTTGAAACCAAAATGGCAGTATAAATAAGCGAAATGTTCGATGACTACAATATTAGGGTCAGGAGGACTATTAACAACAATTATGAGGAATGTTTGGTTGTGGAAACAGCGAAAGAATATGTTAGGAACACATGGTTAGTAATATTTTGAGATTACAGTTTTAAAAACATGGAGAAATAAATTGAGAACCAAGCGCACTTTTTTGTATGCAATAAATATACAGTTTTTTCAATGGGTGGCAATGTAGCTCTCCAGTCTATCAATAATTTTTTTCCGGAGAGCTACAGATCTGCAGCTAGTATGTCCTGTATGTAGAATTTGTTTTTTAAATGTACCTGAATCCATTTATACCCTTGCAAATAAGATCTCAATTCAATTAAATACACAAGCTTTAATCAATAGGAAGTCTATATAATTATATATATATAAATAATTATTTGTGTTTTTCCCAAATCAAATTGTGGGAGATTAAAAAAAAATAATGTTAATGCAGAACATTGTTTTTAACCGACTTTTAATTGTAAATAAGAGGCTTTTAGCTGTGTTCGACGTGCTATTACACTCGATATCGAGGCCAGCACTGAACAGGAAGAAGAAGAAAGTGATCAATCATCAATGAATAAATCTTGTCTTCTTTGTACTTTTATAGAAATGGAGTGCTATGAACAGTCCACAGTTTGTTGCTTCATCACCGCACATAAGAATCTAGATCTAATTCATTCATATGAAGACGCCAACATGTTCCGGTGAAGGGCTGCATATTTTAACCTGTACTCAGCACTAAAGCCTTTGAAAAGTGAGAGATTTTTTTTCGTACCAACACCTACATGAACTGCGACACTGGAATTCGGTTTATATGGTTTCATTCAAAGGACCGGACAATCTACATGCAGTGATGTCGGAGACTGATGATTCAAACAAAATTCTGCTTTTTAAAAAAGACAAGTGTTCTTCATTCCTAATAGTAGAGGGCAGGGACAGTAGAGGACATGAACAGTATGATGTAATGGTGGATTTATAACTTACAATAAAAAAAATTCTAGAAAGTGAATTTGTTGAAAGAAACTACTGGTGATAAAGAAAAAAAAAACTTCATTTGTTCATGCGAACACCATGATTCTATTTATTTATTTGACTTTGTTGACATAATATAATACAAGTGAAAAGGAGTGAATATGGGACATGAATTGTAAAACTATTAATCTAATAATTCCATGATTACACTATTTCATTAAATTCTAAAAGATGTTACGAGACACTTTGTAATTTCATTTATATTATTTCATTGGTTAACTTGGCACTGACTATAAATAAATTGTAATTTTTAGACACTGGAAATTTTGTTTTTATTGTTTCCATGAAGTTAAAATTTTACATGTGTACTGTGTTGTTCTACAACAAACATAAAATAATCTTTATTTTGTCCCCTACTTCAAATAGATTGTGCCTTAATACAGCACTATTAGCTTCTAAGGAGTGGTGGAAGAAAAATTTGGTAAAGATGATAAAAGATTTTGCTAAATTTTCAGAAAATGAACATTTTACCAAGGCGGTTAATTAAGACAGAACAGAAAAACTGATGGAAAATGTTACTGTAAATTTCATGT